TGGCCGTGAGGCGCAGCGCCAGCGTGTTGGGGCGCCGCACGCGGTAGCGCGCCGTCAGCAGCGCGTCTCCGGGGTACCCGCCCGCGCCGTCAGGCAGCAGCAGCGTCAGCACCAGCTCGTCGCCCGCCACCGCCGCCTGCCACGGCACCTGCCGCGCACGTAAACCCCGCCTTTGCTACGCGCGCCTGAATGCAACCAATCTCCGGAGGGGAATTCTAAAGAGCGGTAGCTCTCATCGCTAATTTGCGTCGTTTCTCCGTACAGCACCAGGTGAATGCCGGAGCAGTACTCAAATGGGTCTCTCCTCGCCCCTTACTAACACGCACACTCTTTCTTGTACTACACTATCTCGCATATCGGAGACTAGACGGAAGCTTAGAGCTTGACCTGGCTGGCTTGACAGTGACGGTGCCACGCTGATGGGAGATACCTGGTTAGGGAAAATCCCCTCAAACCGACGTAGGTCGGCGCAGGATCTCGCCATCCAGTTGGGGGAAATCATCGCTAACCAATCAGTATGGAGGTCAGTCGTAAGCATACAGCGTGTGCCGGCTGAGCCTCTGCCTCGCCGAGAGAAAATAAGTGAAGGGCGAAATCCTTCGTAAGCCGACACGCATGTCGGCGTGGGATAACGCGCATCCAGTGTGTCAACACCTTCCGGGATATTCCTATTTTCTACACTAATGGATTGTAATGACTAGCCCTTGACGTGCCCGGAAACAACATTCAATCTGCTACTAGTAGTAGTAGCTCGCTTCGAGTCACCGTGGAATGTCGCGGAGTGCGAACGTCAAGTGTTCGTCTGCTGGCATAGCAGTCGCAACCCTTCCGACACTTGTATTTACGAATCCACTTGCGTCGGGAAACTGGTGTTGTGGTGACCTGGTGGTGGTAGCGCATGCTGTGCCACCACGTGAACATCGAATGGTGAGGAAAGAAAGTTGGTGAATCAAATGTCTTGTAGAGATGGCACTGTATGCAAAAGGACTTGAAGCATATGAAATTTACAACAAATGAAAAAGTAAATACGCTAATATGCATAACAATGACAAAAATCGAAATTTATTTTCGTTTTCTATCCCTTACCTAATTGCATCTTCTGTGTTGGGCATTTCTACTACTGCTCTCTTGATACAACTACTGGACGGACAATTTCATTGTAACACCCGTGTCACCGAGTTCAACTAATAACATTTACCTTGACATCACTGTTTTGAAGGTTGTTCTCATAAAAAATTTATACTAAATGTAGGTTCACAGCCGAGGATTTTTAAGCCAAAATAAAGTTAAAGGGCTTGTGGAAGATTTGAAGCATGTGCATTAACCTTGAGTTCTCACAACTTGTTTGACATGACAATAGGCCATTGTACGTATATGATGTGCAGTGATATGTTCGCTCGATTTATGTCTGTAGCGCTATCCCATATAACAATTCCTCTATATGTACGCGTGTACGGTAACCAGGAACGTTCATGATATGGGGGTTATTATATTTTCTCTAGTATAGATTTTTATTAAAAGTATCACGAAACGGAACTTTGCCATGAGGCAAAAAAGTTCCTTATACAATTAGAATTATACGGTAGTCATTTCAAAGACGTATAGGAATTTTAATTAAACGAAAGTGTAGTAACTGTAAGTGTAGGAACTACAGTGTAACAACTGTAGTTCTTAATACTGTCGTCTAAAACTGTAGAATGAACGAGTACTATATCAGTTGATTTCGTTTGTTGGGAAGGCGCTGCTCGGCGCGCCTCACCCGGTCGAAGCCCGCGTCGTGGCCGCCGTTGAGGTGGTGGTGGTTGTGCTCGTTGAGGTCGAGCTGCGCGTCGAAGTCGCCCCTCCCGCGCAGGCGTCCGTCCTCCACGCGCCCGCACACGCGCCCCAGCAGCCCCGACATGTAGTGGTGCGCGTTGGTGTGTAGCACTGCAGAAATAGAGGAGGGAACAAAACAATGGTTGAGAAAGTCATGGTTGAGAAAGTTTGTCCCATGTGCTTCACGTAAAGTACTCCCAAATTTTAATGTTTTTCAAAGTCGCAGAGCTGCGCATCAGACCAAATCGATTGGAGTTTATTCAGTTTGTAAAGACTTCTATGCTTACTTTAGGCGTTAGTGTTGTCACATACACCAAACGTACGGGCGTTTTTAAAACTAGTGATGCACTGCACGTATTTTCTCCTCCCTATTTCGCTAAATTGTGTAAAAAGTACTTAAATTTTCGAAAAATTCTATATTTCTTTATTTCAAAATATATATTTAAGAAACATATATCATTAAGGAAAAATTGTTATTTTCATAATATTGGAGTTGTAGGAAGAAACAGAAAAAAGTGAAATTCTGGATTTTTCAAAAAATTTGAGTTGTCAAAGATAATTAGACCTACACCACCATCTCAAACGCCCAGCACACTATCCAGCAACAAAATGTAATAAAAAAAGATGAAGCGTATTTTTTTTCTTGAAAATTTGGTACATAAGCAAAGGGCTTAATGTAAAGTACCTCTCAAAATAAAAATTTAAAATTCAATTTTAGAGAAAAGGAATGAGCGGCTTAGCCACGAACGTTATTCACAGACAGACGGACAGACAGAGGACAGACAGACGTTTTGTCGTCATTCGATTTTTCTGTATCTAGGATGGTGATGGTAGATGGTAAAATCCACCACGTGATGGTGGATTTTAGCGTGATAGCTGACGAGTACAAACAAGATCAGGTTGTCATATGGAAACGTGGTTTCTCAGAGAAGTATATATTTAGAGATAATGATTTTTGAAAGGAAAATTTTGAGAAGATTTTTTGGTCCAGTTAACTATCAAATAGTATTTGGAGGACAAAATGTATTGTGGAGCAGGAAAATCCAATTAAATGTAATAAATATTGTGAACTACATTAGAGCTTAAAAATTAAACTTGTTCGGGATGATCTATATAATGAAAGATATTTGGTTGGTACAGAAAAGTCTTGGATATCATCCTATAGAAAGTAGAACAAAAGGGATAGGCAAAGCAATAAGGAATAATGATGTAATAAATGATATTTAAGTCAATAAATATAAGAAACCAGATAGGTAAAGTGACTACAGAAAATAATTAAGACTGTAGTTGACCTGGCCAATACAGTGAGCAAATGATGTTGCCAAGCCTCATTAAGAGGAATGTCCTCATTGATGCTTACGGTTCATGTTGGGGAAAGACGGCATCACCTCCTCCACGAGGCCTTCATGGTCGGACATGAGCACCGAGACGATCTGCGCGCCGTAGTTGCAGATCTGGACGCAGAAGCCGTCCTCGCCCGTCATGTTGAACACCTCGACAGGGACCAGGTTGAGAGTCACGTCTTCTTCGTCCACAAGTGGCTCTCCCCACTTCAGATTCACAAAGTCTGTACCCGCGTGCCTAAAACGAATTCAGTTGATCTGCGTTAATGCTTTTAGTTTTCATCAGCCAAGGACATAGTTGAGGTGGATCAGGTCATCAACTCATAATACTGCCTCTTGACTGGGAGGTCCTAAGCTTCGAGCCCCGAAGGTGGTAGGATTTTTGACACCGACCCTACACGGCACCGTCTCTCTCCATGGTAAAAACATGTACTCATGTACTCATGTTAAAAATACACTAAATTGCAAGACTAAGGACCATACCAGTTGATGTGGCTGGAAAAACGAAATAAACAATTGAAATTACCAAATCTTTACTTGATCGTCGATCACTACTCTTCAGGCCAAAAGGAGAGACATTTCACTAGAAAATATTATAAAAGAGATTGTCATAGCCGACTAAGAAGTCAAGTATTTAATGTGTATTGAAAGAAGCAAAAGCTCTATAACTGCATAGGTGGCTAAATGAACGTATTTAAATTATTGTAAATATTGGAGGCTTGCTTGTAATTTCAAAGTACACATAGCCCTCATAGTACTATTTGTTTTTAAACGTCAATTAATCCAGAAAATTCAGTTCTTGTACATTGTTTTAAAATTCCTTCCTGTAAGAATTATTAATTAATTTTAAAACAAACTCAGAACATACTGAACGGTTAACGAACAATAATACCTAGGTGCATAGTCCTTATATTTTGGAGTTACATTTTTTTATGTAGCACTTTAGTACTAGTCCACTTTTCACCTTTATATCACAGTTACAAAGAATAACGAATACCAGCCTCGAGTCGAAGGGTCGCGGATTAGATTTCCGTTTCGGGCATTGCTATTTGTGTGTGTTCACGTTGTCCATATGTGCTTTTCGTACATTTCCCTCTACAGTTAAAACATCACAATGTTTTCTTTAATTATCAGAATTAATTATTTTAATTATTGCTTAAAAATTATGAATTACGTTTAAAAATCCTGTAAGTTTTAATCGGTTTAAAAAATATGCGGCAATTTAAATTAATTTGCTCGTGTTCTTACACAACTCCAAATTATATTGGGTAGGGTCATTGTATGTGCTAATGCATTTCGCCAGTTCTCTCTAAGTAAAGACATTATTTATTACTTCAGAACATTTATTAACGTAAACATGGGTCGTACATAACTGAAAATTGTTCTGAAGTAAAAGTTTTATTGATAACCGACTATAAGCATTTTACGCTTATCTTCGTCAGTATTTCGTGATCCCGGAGTTCAAATACCTTAAACATTAGTTACGTAAGAGTGAGTCACGGTATAGATGGGAGATAGAGATGTTACTACTCCAAAGAAACGTAAGACCACTATTTTTCTGATAGAGTAGTCGATTAAGGTATGTGCCTGTGTGTGTAGAAGAGATGAGGAGGAACCAAAGATACAGAATGAAACGTCATGCGCAGTCCGTCAACCATTTTAAGAACTACCTATCACAAATGCAGAAATCTAGAACACCTCTTCCTCATACCTGAATGCGACATAACCGTTACTCTAATCATAGGATCTACCGGTCAACGACATTGCAGATTCAACGGTTGCAGTAGTTACGCTCTCTCAGTCTGTTGAAAACTTCATAACGAAGCACGGAGCACCCATAATGCTTAGTAGTTCTCCCGTGCACCAGGTTCTGTAGGGGAGTCAGTTGCGGTAGACGGTCGGGGTGTATATTTCTTCTAATGTACGTATGTGGTCTACATGTGCACCACATGTAGGATGAATGCTTCCTGTTGACGAATGTAAGGAGCACGGAAGGGCGCGAATTTGTGTGGTTGATGTGGAAGACGCGCTGGTAGAGAGGAGGATTTGTGTTGCGGCGTGTGGTCGCTGTGCGCACCAGATGGTGTAGGGCGGGTGGCTGGTGTCGATGAACGTGGAACTGTATCCTGAGAGGCTCACGTGGGAGGGGATATTAGTATTGTGTGATGTGGTCACCGTACGCACCAGATGGTGTAGAGCGGCTGGCTGGTGTCGACGAACGTGGAACTGTATGCTGAGAGGCTCACGTGGGAGGGGTTATTAGTGTTGTGTCATGTGGTCACCGTACGCACCAGATGGTGTAGGGCGGCTGGCTGGTGTCGACGAACGTGGAACTGTATCCT